CTTTATTTGGACGGCTTAGATTAAATATTTCGTCTAGGTCTGTCTTGGCGGTTATTTGCTTGTATAAAAGCAGCTTTAGGCCTTTGTATTTTAAAAAGCTTCTACTTTGTAATTGTCAACATTTTCTATGTGAAAATCATATGAAGCATTCTTTCTCTGTGTTCTTCAAGAGTTCTTCATTGTGTTCTCATTGATTTCTACCTGCTTGATTTACAACTGTCCGCTGCATACTCAATGTCTATCTATTTAATCAAGTAAGATTTCAATACCCTGAACTGAGTAATACGGTCCAACAATTATGGAACTTAATAAAATCTTATAATCTTGTTCTTCAATCACGTTTTTGTAGGTTGGGGATGTTGTTCATCATAAAGGAGGGAAAGTTTGGTTAGAGCATATGGATTGTTTATTATAATTGAAGATGCTATTGGAGCAACAATCGCATAGCCTTGTCATTTCAGTTTGGTATGTTAATCTTCTAACACTTGTGAGTTTTAGCAAGTGTAGAATTCTTTTATTACACAACTTTAAGCTCATATATCTGTTTTTTAATTGTAGATTGTGCATGACGAAGATTGATATCTTTCGTTTATAAGACACAATATATAAGATTTTTTGTATTTGCGTAATTCTTGTTCAGTATTTAGTTTTGTCATGATACAACTTTGTGGTGGATACATAGCTTGATAGTTGGTATTCATGTAAGTACTTGTTTAACTTTGAATTTTGTTCTATCAAATCAATTCGTAAAACTTTCATATATGCTTCTAAATGTAATATTACAGAATGATTTTATAATTGGATGATGCGTCTCACATTATAGTCATTTAAGACGCTTTTTAGTGTTAATTATTATAGCCTATTAGGACACTTTTAGTATTACTTAATTTATTTTATAGGACTCTAAAATTTGTTTCATAATTATATAACTTATTAAGACACATATTTTGGTACTATATAATTGTTTTAGCGACATTGAATTTCATCCTATAAAAGCATTTTTTAGGACGCCCATATTTGTTTTTAAATGTAAACATTTTGAGACAACATAAAGAGTCCTATATTATAGTTTATTATGACACTTTTTAGTGTTATTTAAACCATTTTATAGGACTATGGAATTTGTATTATAAT